AAGAGGTTTTTTTTTTTTTTGCCAGCAGCAGTTGTTTAGCATTTTACTTCATAGATATCGCAAAAAAAAAAGGTTTAACAAAATATATGGATTGACCGAAAATACAACTTAAACTAGAGTTGGGGGGGGGGGGTGTCTTAATGAACTTAATGCTTAAAAAATATAATTGTTTCCTCCAACGCTTGTATGGATCTAAGTCTATCTAACGTGGGTACGATCAATAAATTTAGCGCATTTGACTGAGATTATATAATATATATGTTTTTTAAAATGTGTCAATGTGATTATCAATGTCTTTGCCTTTGAAATAGCCCTCATATTTTATTACTGATTCAATAAGGGGAAATAATCAACTATTAAAAACTTTACATAATTATTTCCCTTGATTTTAAAAAACTATTTGGAAAAAAAAAAATTAAAATTAAACATTTTCATTTATTCAATTAAACGTTTGCTAGTCACACCTTATATTACGCACTTAACTTGGAATTTAAATTAAATTGTTAGGTTTGAGTTAGTGTTTAACTAATAGACTGTTTTGAAATTAACGGAGTGCAGAATCCATTTAATTTAAGAGGCGCACTACCGTGGGCCCTGCATCTTGGAAGGGGACCTCGGATATCCAGGAGTCCCATTTGTGTGAATTGAAAGGAAAAAAAAATTGTTTAAATTGCAATGAGGTGGCAAAGGGCTTACAAAAGTCACCCGATGGCTCTGAGTCACAACACAGTGTCTCATAAGTCTTAACTGTTAATGTTAAAATGGAAAAAAAAAATAACCAAACGTGGGGGTAATTAAAAAAATGTGTTCGTGTGTTTAAAATTTGTATTAACGGTTGCCTGTCAGTACTGTCAGGAATCGCTATTTCTAATTTAAAACATGGACTATTTAAGTCTATTTACCTTCATTTTTACTTAATGCTTAAGGCGTATTTTAACTATTTCAAACAGAGGGAAGGGTTGGTCAGGAAAATCACTATGGATCCACCAATGTCTCAATACCAACGATTCTTTTCTTTAAAACAGTAATAATAAATAATCGGCTTTAAATCGGTCTAAAAAAAAAAATAAACTAGCAATCGTAACGGAAATTAAAATAATGAATATTTATATATATTTAAATATGATTTCAGTAGTCAGTAGAATTTTGAGGGCATACCTCAATACCTTAAATATGACAAATATAGTTATGTTTTATGTCTATATAGTATTAGTACACGATATGTGAAAGCTTTGAAAGGTACGCACGACGGACGACATAACTCACTACGAAATGTAGGCTGAAAGCCTTCTACAGTCAATGAAAAGATCCCCTAATTAAACGGGTGACTGGATGGTCCTAGTCGATGTTGACGGAAAAACAACATAACAGTGAAAAGAACAAATGAAAATTACACATAATCAAATTAAAATTAGTAGAAACAGAAAATTCGCCTTTTTAAAATCTAGGCCTAAAGTATAGGATGTCATACAAAGTATGAGACAGAAAGTGGGGCCGTTTACTAATACCGGGTGTGTATATGCCACATTTTCTATTTTTAGACATGCTGATTAACCAATGAGTAATTTATTATTCCACTTACAGCCTTATAAATAAAATAATTATTATTTATGCAACACAAACGAACGAAAACAGTTCACACAATATTTTAAATTATATATAGAACTAGCAAGTTCATGTCTTAAATAACATGTTATCTAAAACCATTTTAAATAACCGAAGATCTTTTGTTTGGCATGTTAATGCCGTAAGCAGCTCCTGACGTCACGTAATATTTCTTCCGCCATGACCGTGCGATAGGTTGTCCGACTCATCGATCGAGCTGAATAGTTACGAAAATGTCGGGCAACGTCGGTATGGAACATCTTATTCCTATAGTAAATAAACTACAGGATGTATTTGCTTCTCTTGGAGTTCCTTTATCTCTAGATCTTCCTCAAATTGCTGTAGTAGGAAGCCAGAGTGCAGGAAAAAGCAGTGTCCTCGAGAACTTCGTTGGCAGGTTTGTAGACTGTGGCTTGAAGCAGTCCTGCTTATTCCGTTTTGATTTAATTTATTTTTTCGACAAATGTTCTTTCGTCTGTTTTCATCATTGTTCATACGTAATTGTTATGGGAGATTATGTTTTGCATTATTCTATTGCCTTCTACAACCCGATACGTTGTCCAAATTGTTTAAATGTATAAATTGGTCCGACAGGCTTCAACAGTAAAAACTAAAAAGGGGCGTCGCCGGTTGTAAATCAAACTAAACCTTATTTACTGAGAAATGTTTTACACACTAATATGTGATCCATACTGATATGTAATTTTCTAACAAATCAGGTACACTTATGCATATAATCCAGCATTCCTAACATATTTTTCTTCTGTTGGCACTGTCTGTTTTTCTGTAGTCTTATTTTTAACCTTTTAATAGTTTTAAACTTAAACTTATTCCAGTTCTAGTACAGCATACACAACTTGACACAAACATCAGTGTGTCAGTAGTATGATAGTGTCAGGCCAGAACCAAAATTAAATAATTATAAAAAAAAACAAATGAGCTAAACTTATACTTACGCCTCTAATTCAGCGTTGCCAAACTTTTTTCTTCTATTGGACATTGTCAGTTATTTTTATTTTTAAACTTATTGTATAAATATAGATTCTTAACCATCAGGCCAATGCCAAAATAAAAAAGAAGTCTTAATATTATTAATATACTGAAAGAGGACTTATTGATTTGAGATGGATAATGTCAATGTTTCTAATTATCTAATTAGATGTAATACAGAGTGGGCCATTATTATTTTTAGAGCTATACTTAATTAATAGGCCTATAATTTATATTATATTATATGATTTCTATGAACCTGAAATTAAAAAAACTTATATTTTTTAATTATTTTTTACTAAGTCTCTACACGTCCGGCCGGACAAATAGTGCGGGAGAGTCCGGCGGGCAGGTTATGTTATGTGACAAGTGGTTGCCGACAAAATAGTTGCATTGCATTTGATATTCCGATCCCTAGTTAATAAATAAACACTGAACATGTTAATATATTCAAATGCTCTGTGATACATAAAGTGTTTGACTTTGAATATTAAACTAGTCTGCCTATATACTAACTAGAAGTACTATTACTACTACTATTACTTGTCTATCTATTTGATTCTGACTCTTCAAAGAAAAACGTCCCTTATCTTAGTTAATACATTGTGTGAAGCTCTACGTTGAAGCCTAAATTTAAAATATGAACAAGATAAATAAGACCAGTAGACTTCAATAGACCATTGTCAATAAATGTGTATTTAAGGATTAGTATTTAGTATTGCATGAGAAGTAGGCTAGGCTACCATTATATCGGCCCTATATTAAGAAGTAAGGTAATTTTCTTTGTGAACTATCGACCTCCTGGCTGTAAACTTTATTAAACTTAACAATAGTTTTGAAACATTTGGTGTCGCGTGACAAGGCTGACGGACCATAGACATAGAGATATTTATATATATTTAGCTCTGTGTGACGGACAAATATCTCGCTCCATTTGTTATGGCGGTCATGTGACTTGGTCGCCGGACAAATAGTGCGCTATTTTTTAACTTCGAGATGTCATCAATGTGGTTATAGTAGGTTTATTGATATTTACCATAGAAAGATATTGGAGTAGTTTAAAATGGGTTATACTATTTTACAGAGACAGAGATAAAATTTGCCCTCTATTTACTTACTATATTAATATTACCAAGTCATGTCATAGAGAAAGAACTTGTGACATAATTATTACATTCATTAGTATTAGGAAAGGATAGCATGTTCTAAGATTATAGCCTGTAAGTAAGAGCAATCTTTTTATAAATATAAGTCTTTTTGTTAAAGTTTAAACATAGCACCAAACTTTGAAGTACTCCACTCTAATCAGCTTCTTTGTCATTTTATCAAAGTTTGTGAGCTACAATTAAATTACTCATTCATACTAGCCAAACAAGTTGTGGGCATGTATTATTATTTGAGGTGATGTTTAATAGGTTGCAATCCAAAAAGCTAACATTATTTATAATTTTAACACTAATAAAAACATAAAAGTCTGTAGTTGCTAAATTAACATTATCTTTTCATTTATTTGAGAAGAGTTTAATTTCAGTCTGAACTACCATCTTGTCTCTAATACATCTGCTTATTTCCTTTAAATTGTGCACATAATACATTAACATAGGAAGTATCTATAACTTTCTAATTTTAACCCATTTTAAAAAATGTCATGCAAATCCATATAAATATTATTTATTAATTATTGGATTTCTTTTTAAAAAGACCAAGGGAAAACAAAATGAATACATGAAATATCTAAAAATTTTGAATTTTTGTGGTTTGCTTTCATTATTTTAAGCTATGGCTATTTTTCCTAATGTGAGTTTTTGTTCTCCAATAATACAGTATAGTAGCTGCTGGTGACTGTACAATGGAAGCTATTGTGTGAATGTTACAGTTAAAGTTGCTAGGGTTTACTGGGTGACTTTGTTTTCTGTTCCATGATATTCATCATGTTAATTTACGCTAATTTCTTTCCATTTTGATGAGAGGGGAAACATGACATTTTCATGTGCAGTACATTGTGTGATTGACAATCTAATTTGGGTTATTGTCAAGTGAGACTGCTGAAACAATATTTCGCATTGGGTTTACCCAAGAAATGGAATAGATAAGCAAGCAAGAGGATGCACTCATTGTAATGAGAAGATGTACAGTGTAAAGCTATTTTGGTGTGTAGCTGAAATTACCAGCTGATACCTATGTAACAGATGTTGGTTTAAATCCATGGGTTCCCAAATTGAATTACAATAATCCTTTCTTTTGTGGCCATATAAATTCATATTGTTATTTGTTTACTGAAAGTATTAGAGATATTTTTAGTGAATGGGTCAATAAAGCCCAAAAGGCAAGAGATATCATTTTTTAAATTTTTCCTCTATAGTTCTAGCATCTACAATTTTATATTCACTGAGAGAAACAAAAAAAATAAATACTTTCATGTGTGCCAGCTGCTAAAGACATATATAGATATTGTGCTCTATATGAATGATTCGTTATTCAACATCTACATCAGTGGTTCTCAAAGTGGGTGCTGTCAGGGGGGGTGGGGGGGGGGGCTGTTTGATAGGCTTTCATATTTTTTAGCACTTCTTTCAGTTCAAGAAAATTCCGTTATAAAGCATGATAGCTATAATTAAAGTGTCAACAATGACTTAGCTTTGCCCATTCTTTGCTGCTCATTGAGAAATAAATAAAAAAATCATTTCAAAATGTCTCTATTACATCTGGTAACTGTTACTTTCAGTGACATTCTGTACTGCAGTGAGTTAAATTTTAGCACACGTTCAATTGACAATTCCTGGTGCTCTGTGTTGAGAATGATTCTGTATTTCCTGCTTCATGCTGAGATTCATTGGGACCAGTGCTTCTGTTGTTGCTAACCTAAAGACACCACCTACCACATAGCCTATCAGAAATATTTGCAGATTCAATAACAATGAGTGCAGGTGCAGGAGAGTGAGATCTATCATTTAAAAACTAAATCTGTCTTCCTTTAATTTGGATTTCAAATAATAACTCAATTAAAGCCAAGTATACCACGGACGCAAGTTGTAGCAAATTTCCTGCAGAACTAGAATGGGAATGGTGAGATCGAAATTGACTGTCTGGTAGTACTTGGAGACCATTGGTGATGCTACTTAAGATAGTCAGTGCGATTTTATGATTTTCTTTTGATGGGTTGAAGACCAGGGCTTAATCAGCTAAAATGATTTTAAACCACAGTTAAGACAGGGTTTTGCCTGAAATAAGACAGTTATTACCATATCCTGCTCTGTATAAAGCTCCATGTTACATCATTGTGTATGGTGTATTTGAAAGGTTTTTTTAAGTTTGGTTACCCTGTTTTGTTTACAGCAAAGCTATTTCTGTTAAATATGAACACAGTCAGTTAAGTTTCTGCTGATAGACCTAAATCCAGATACTGAAAAATAATCTCACTTTAATGTTACTTTGTTGATGCTTCCACCACATTAAGAAAATTGACCAATGAAGACGTTAGTCAAGTAAAACAATTGCTAAATAATGAACCTACTGAGGTACTTCTTGATAAAATTAATTAGCAGATTAATGAAGTCATATGCTAATGAAGTAATTCATTTGACTTTTGATTCATTGTTCAAATATATGTTACAATTTTAAATTTTCTTGTGTAATTATCTTCCAGAGGGTGGCACAAACTTTATTCTGAGAATGCTTATTATTTGGTTGGGGGGTGGGGGGCAGTCAAGCGAGGTTATGGGCCCAAGGGGGCAGAGGTCAGAAAAACTGATCTACGCTAATGAACTCTTACTTACAAAACAAAAAAATAATTTGATGTTAATAGGGCTTTAATCAAGTTAAAAATTGAACTTTAAAAAATTAGTAAGTGTAATAACATTGGCAAGTACCACAATGTGTTACTCAACTTGTATTTAATGTAAATTTCAAAGTTTTCTTTGTAATGGTATTAAGTTAGAGTTGAAAAGCATACATGATCATTATATTTATTTTCAGAGATTTTCTTCCTCGTGGCTCTGGCATTGTCACAAGGCGACCATTGGTTTTACAGCTGATGTACAGTAGAGTAGGTCAGTATTATTTAAATGTATAAAATATGGAATATATTAAATATGATATTTTTATCAACATTGAGATTGTTTTTGTATTATTGAATTTATTACTTTGTTTTCATGTTATAATTATGAAGAATCAACTTCAGTGGCCTCTTATATAAAAATCCACTTATTTTTCAATTCATTTTCACCAGAATATGCTGAATTTGTTCATTGCAAGGGCAAGAAGTTCACTGACTTTGCTTTGGTTCGTAAGGAAATTGAAGATGAGACAGACAGAGTCACAGGCAGCAATAAAGGAATTTCTAATATACCAATTAATCTACGAGTTTTTTCCCCAAATGGTATAATTACTTCTTTGTCATTAACATTTTAAAAAAAATTATAATTTTGGTTTATTGAATTTATACATCATAAGTAAAAGTAAGTTCCTTGCTATATATTTACATTTGTGATAAGAACTGCCTCCGTCCCCAGTCCTCAACTTGACACTTATTGATTTGCCTGGAATGACCAAGGTGCCAGTGGGTGACCAACCAGCTGACATTGAACAGCAAATTCGAGGCATGCTAATGGAGTTTATCACTAAAGAGTCTTGCCTCATCCTTGCTGTCACTCCAGCCAACTCAGATTTGGCCAACTCTGATGCTCTTAAAATTGCTAAAGAAGTGGACCCCCAAGGTCAGCATCGTTTTTTATATTTATGTAGAAATCAAAGGATTATAATTAAAACAGTTAAAAATTTTTTATATAAAGTTGAGTATAACAATATGATAATCATATAATCTATAAACTTAGTAATCATTGTATCTTTGATTAGAAGCTGATTTGAAAAGGATTTCATGATGTAGTGGATTGCACTGTCCTCCATATCTGTTTTCTTATATTTTACATTATGCATACCTAATGTAACCTCTATGTACTGTTTTTATTATTCAGGCCTGCGAACGATTGGTGTGATAACTAAATTAGATTTGATGGATGATGGAACAGATGCTAGGGAGATTTTAGAAAATAAGCTTCTCCCTTTAAGAAGAGGTAAGTTAATACCGATTAGGGTGGATCTCAGACTTAGTTCAAAAATAAAAGGGCAAAAATTAAATGGCAAGTCAAATGGTTATACAAGACCCAGTGATGTCTGTCTTCATTACACTCTTACAAACTTGCATCTGTTTCAGGTTATATTGGGGTTGTCAACAGAAGTCAAAGAGATATTGAAGGGAAAAAAGATATCCGAGCTGCACTGGCAGCTGAAAGGAAATTTTTCTTGTCACATCAGTCATACAGGTAAACTTCAACTTTTAATTTGTTAGTAAAATATGCTTATATATTTTTTCGCTCTGAAGTGGTAGCGCTGGTCCTAGGTGAGAACATTATATGCAAAAGGTTATGTATAATATTAAATCAGTTAGAAACTCGAAAATCTTCCTGTTTTTTTTTAATAAGCTTATGTTTTTTCCCAGGCACATGGCAGACAGACTTGGCACGCCTCACTTGCAGAAAGTGCTGAACCAGCAACTGACCAATCACATTAGGGACACCCTCCCTTCACTGCGCAACAAGCTCCAGTCTCAAATGTTAGCCATGGAGAAGGAAGTTGAGGAATACAAGAATTTTCGCCCTGATGACCCAGCCAGGAAAACTAAGGCCATGATGCAGTAAGTACAATTTGAAAATAAGAAAAGTGAACGAATTAACTGCAAGATCATTTTTTATTGACTGTTTAATCAGTGTGGGGGATTGAATGACACTTTTTACCTTCTGGCTGGACACGCGAGTAGTTATTGTAACTATTAAAATTTAACATGTAATATACGGCATTGTAAGATTTTGAGATGGTATAGTACTATTCTGAAACAATTTTCTATGAAGTTGGGAGTTCAAGGGTAACCAGGTCTGCTCTTAACCGAAGTCACGAACTCACCTTTTTTCTGTACAGAATGATCTCCCAGTTCAGCACTGACTTTGAGAGAGATATTGAAGGCTTTGGTACCCATGTCTCCACTGAGGATTTGTCAGGTGGTGCTAAAATCAACAGAATTTTTCATGAAAGATTTCCATTTGAGCTGGTGAAGGTGAGCTTTAAGACCTTCTTATAATCCCTGTTAATATCTGCAGAAAAGGTTAACTGACTGTCTTAATTTAGTAGAAGACAACTTAGTTCTTTTAACTAGTTCCTGGTGTATGATATCAGAAATGTTTGCCAAGCAGTTACAAAAAATATATTGGCAATTCCATTACACTTTTTTGAAAAAAAAATTAAATTGACATTTAGATAGACTAAATAATTTTGATGTGTATCTCTCAAACATTGTTCATTTACCAGGTGATCCATTGAGCTACACTTGATAGTGCTAGTTTTCTTGGATGCCGGTACTTAAAAAAGGAAAGAATTAAAGAATGCAATAATATTTTTATATTTATTTTGTGTACTATATAATATTTTATTTTTGAACTATTTTTTCTTTGACAGATGGAGTTTGATGAAAGAGAACTTAGGAAAGAAATTGCCATCACCATTAAAAATATTCACGGTATCAGGTACATATCACATAAGATTTTTTAGCAACAAGTTGATGATTCCCATCATTCATTAGCTATTTTTGCGTGTGCTATTAGGCCAGATTCTAATGCAGAGGTGAAGAATTTGGAGGTCTTTCTCAGTTGATCTTTGTTTGCTTAAAGGATGCTGCTATAGTCTGGAAATTCTGGCACATCTCTCTTACTCCTATAGTCTTAAGAAAGGTCACAAATCTAGTTATAAATACAATTTTCATAAAAGAAACCAAAAAACAATCACTTCTTTGGCACAGCATAAAGTTTCATTCAATTGGTGGAAGGAGCATCACTTTGGTGTTTTGAACTATTTCTGTATCCCCCTCGCCAGTAAGTTACAAATTGTTTTTCTGATGGTCTGCAGGACAGGATTGTTTACCCCAGACATGGCTTTTGAGAGCATTGTTAAGAAACAGATCAATCGCTTAAAGGAGCCATCTCTACACTGTGTAGATTTGGTTGTGACAGAACTGTCCTCTGTTGTACGCAAATGTACAGAAAAGGTAAGGTACTTTGGTCCGTCATGATTACAGTGTGTTATGGAACAGGAGGTTGTAATATCATGTTTTTACGAAAAGAATTCTGCCTGTGCAGTGCAATACTTTTTACCCTTTAAAATATAATATTACGACATCCCATTTTTACACTTAAACTCTTGAATCTGTGTGCCGTGCATTACTTTTTACTAGGACTTAACTTCTAAGATTTGAGAAATTTAATTTTTAGTCCCTTCAAAACTTATTGAGCTCTAATGTTGTTCAAGCGGAAAAAAATAAATATATTATTGATAATTTTATCATGTTTTTTTGTTTGTTTACACCTCACTTATAAGATCAGTTGTGCACTAACATGTCTCATTAAAATAAACCACTGAACCAAAATGTTTGCCATATAACTTCAGATATTTGTCTTATAACTTAAGATGTTTGCCTTATAACTTAAGATGTTGCGCTACCCACGCTTGAGAGAGGAGACAGAGCGTATAGTGAATACTCGCATTAGGGAACAGGAGCAGGTTGCCAAGCAACAAATTCTACAGCTCATTGACATTCAGCTATCCTATATGAACACCAATCATGAAGATTTTATTGGTTTTGCCAAGTGAGTATTGTTCAAGACAAGTGTAAAGTTGCACTGACTGAAAAATGTAAATTAAAAAATAAAATCTATTATTTACTAAGATTTACTAACAAACATTCCCTGACAAGTATGATTTGATTATTGCTACGCTTTCTAATTTCCTACACCACTGAAAATATTTGCCTCAAGATCTTATTTTAAAAAAAGAAAAAACAAGAAAAAAACCTCATCAAAACCAAACATACACATTAGTTTTCATCAGCTCGCTATGAACTTCTTTGTTATCCTTTTTTGCTTCAGTGCTCAACAAAAGTCTGAGAACACCAACAAAAGGAAACTTGGTAATCAAGTGAGTGCTGGTTCACAATTGTTGACAAGAGGAAATGGCCTTGCATTTGTTTTCTTGGACATTATCTTTTGAATATGTCACATTGTTACTTAATTTCAATTATTATATTTTAAAAAAAAATTTACAGCTGTCAAATCTTTAATATTGAAATGTAAGCTTAATGTAGGTGTCAAATCTATGATTTAGTGAGATTACTGTGTATTTTCTACTAATTTTTTTAAAGGGGATAATGAATAAAAATGACCAAGATTGAGACAAAATATGGAAGGAACATTTGGAAATTTGTGTAATATTTATAGGATTACAAATTATGATCTCGCCTAGTAGTTTTGAATAATATTTATTGAAGCTCTATTATGTCCACACAGTTACAAGTCAGCTTTAAAAAAAAATTAAATTCCAAATGCTAAGCATAAAGATGTCAGATATTTTGTTAACAAAATGTCCATCATTGGATTATTTATTTTTGGTCCCCAGGTTATACGAAAAGGCTGGCTGTCACTGCACAATGTCAGTTTCATCAAAGGTGGATCCAAAGACTTTTGGTTTATTCTGACAGCAGAGTCCCTGTCCTGGTATAAAGACGAAGAGGTAATATCATTTAAGCCGACATGAGTCGCTACTCAATGATTAGTGCTATAGATAGGGGACATAAACCCACTGAAGCCATCAAAAACTTTCGATGAATACCTGTTAGGTTGATCTACACAAGTTTAAGGTTGATCTACATAAGCTTAGGTTGATCAACACAGGCTTAGCTTGATCTACACAGGCATAGGTGGATCTACACAGGCTTAGGTGGATCTACACAAGTTTGAGGTTGATCTACATAAGCTTAGCTTAATCAACACAGGCTTAGCTTGATCTACACAGGCTTAGGTTGAGTTCTTTTGAAGAATATGGGAAAGGATTACACTATAGATGTGTTAAATTATGTGTTTTAGACTAATATTAACAATTGCCATTGCGAGTCTTTTAGAAGTTTAAAAAAACAAACCCTTATGCACTTGTCTTTTCAACGCAAGAAAATAAAAATGAGCAGACTATCAGTGCTCTGGCAACATAGAAAGAAGATTGAGGCCAAAAATATTGTAATTTTTGGTTTTAATTGGGAATTCATTCCACACCACTATGGTATTCCTAGTATCCCATTCCACATCAGTGCCTCTTTGGAGAATCACTAGTGTAATCTATTGAGAGATATTTGATGTGCAGTCAGGACATTTTACAATTAATTTGTAAAACTTGAATTTTAAAAAGCCCCTGTTTTGTAGTTCTTTTTCGTGATGACATTTTCAGAAAGTGATCCTTGATTATAATTGCTGTTATATTTAGTTGTCACTTAGCATTAGATAATTCTTTAGACTATAATGCTAATAATATTTTAAAATTTAAATTTTTGATATTTTAAGGCATTAATCTAATTTAATTGTTGTCTATATGTCTTTAAAATATTAATTAATTTTTTTTTTACCGTATCAGCACTAATATAATGCATTAAATCGTTTTAATGATGCGAAGGATTTGTTTGAGAAATGTGCTTATTATTTCACAACCAAAGCTGAGCGCTCAGGGCTCTTGGTTTTAAACACCACACCGTTTTGATATTGGTACACAAATATATCAATATTATATTAGTGCTCATACTGTTGTACTTCATACCTATATTTAAAAAAAAAAATGTTTTCTTAAATAATTATTAAATTACAAAAGATTTCAGCTATTGTTAACTAATATTTTCAGATAGCCTTTCCATTATGTCATTAACATTTTTACATGCCCATACATTTGCCTTGCTATAATTGTCTATTCTCTCTTATTGAAGTCAGCCAAGTACCAAGTAGGAATTCTCTGTTTTGGTTATTTTCTGCAGAAATGCGTGTAGTTCAGTTGTTAAGAAATATTTGATAAAATTTACATATTCTGGTAGAATTTAAAATATGATGGCCCCTTTCTAATAATGTTGTTGGTTGAATCCCTATCAGACTTTTGCATTTAATGTTTGTGCACTCAGTCTGCGTGCAATCATTCTTCATGCAATCATTCTTCGAGCAATCATTCTTAGTGCTATCATTCTTTTGTGCTATCATACTTACTGCTATCATTCTTCATGCTTGGACTGAAGTTTGGATGGGGCAGGCAGACTTTATTTCATATAATTACATTTATGGTACCTTACTCTACATGCACTAACTAATGGGGGCTTGTCAAGGGTTCAACTGCTTAGATTACTTTTAGTTAGACCCCCAGGATTTATTTTGAAATCTTTCTTAAAATTCCTGTTATTATGATATTATGATACATTTATTTAGAAGTACATAGTGTGGATATGTTGTTATGTATTTTTATTATAGATCATCCAACTGGTGATATCTGCGATGAGCACATCAGTTCCTTGTGATAGCTAATTAATACTATTACTATTGAGTTTGTTAATGAAGTTTCTATGCCTCATTGATGGGTTAGCACAGTGCTTCTCAAACTGGGGTCCAATGTCCCCTACAGGATGTCAAGGTGTTTTCATGGGGACATTGAAAGGGTCACTTAGGTACAAATTTTGTGCTATTATTAGTGATTGTTGCTGATGGTTGCAATGTCCTCTGGAGGAATCTAATTTATTTCCCATGAGAATTGGTATACTCACTAAATTTTGAGAACTGCTAGTATAGTATAGTGGTATAGGCTCACTGCTTTCTCAGAATCTAGTAGAGACTGTAACCAATGTTTAGGCCCACTGAGTTCCCAGAAATCTTTCACATATTATGAAGCATCAACACTCTGAGGAGTCACTGCAGTAGTATCTCTCTCTATCAGATCCCCAGCAGCCGGCCTGTCAATTCCTAGAAACTAAGAGATAGACTTAGACCTAACCAGAGGATGGAACTGTTGGTTGGGCAGAGGAAACATCTCCAAACTCTGTTCGTGCTAACTTAATTTTCTACAGTCCTGCAGGAGAAAGATTTTGTGGAAAAACTTCCTCCATCTTTCTTATGCTATACAAACAGCCTATCGTCTCAATCCCGTTTTTTTCCCTTGGTAAAATATTCTTCTCTAAATGATGCTGGTAATACATGGGATGTTCTATCACCTTAATTAATTAACTTATTTAATCTAGTTTTTAAGTGTTAACTTAAACAATATTCATCCCTAATATATAGTTTAAATTTTAACAAGTAATTTTTTTATAGATTATAATGAGCTCCAAAAAATTTAATTATATATGACGTTTTATAGTTGAAATTTGGTTTTACTGTAATAAAGTCTAGTGGGGAAGAGAAACCAGCCGGTCTTTTGTGTTCGGACATGTTGGCATTCACTTCTCTAAAGGCCAGCAAGTTAAAGAGATACTTGGCCAATACAAAAAGATGTAGACTTCTTTAGGCGCCAAGCCGAACGATTGCACAAATCCATGCTTGATGACACATGAATATTTTCACAGAACATTAAGGCTCGTCTAAAAAGCCTTCAATGGGGTTTTAAGTAAAATAGCTGCCGCCAAGAAACATACATGATCAGAGAACAGTTGATATTACCCTGCCGCAAAGATATCATATGGAATGTGTTGGGAAACTCTGAGCTTGAGAATCTAAAGCATGTTATCCAATTAAAGGATACTTTTAGGAGGCAAACAACGGAAATGTCTGATAATATGCTGTTACTGTTAGTCTCAAAGATTCAGAATTCGATTTTCAACTTCTTCGTGATCCAGTTTGATGAAACCATGGATGACGCCAACTTCGCCCAACTTTGTATCTACAAACAATATGATTATGACAAGCAACTGGAAGATAAATTTTTTGTTTTTCAAAAAGTCCCCATACCAGATACACTGCAAAATAAATATTTGATAAATTGGACGGATTCCCTGAGGCGCATCGTATCAATTGCGAATATGTCATTGGTGTGTGTACTGATGGCACTTTATGCTTGAATGCCATTCTGGTTTTCAAACTTTAGTAAAGCAAAAATCCCCAGATATTATTAGTACACACTGCTCTATTCATTGCCAAGCCTTCAAGGTGAAAACCATGCCTGATGAGTTAAAAAAGTTTCTCTCTCTGTGAAGTGATTACAGCAGTAAATTTCATTAAAAAAATTTCTCTGTGAAACGTTTACAGCAGTGAATTTCATTAAAGCATCTGCTCTCAACTGTAGTTTGGTTTCTGCAGTATGAAAGAAAAGTGGTTCCGTATTTGAAACACATTTCTTACTCTCCCACGTGAGGTGTCTTTCCTAAAGGAAAAGACTTTTCTTAGTACGTGAAGAAATGCAGCAGTTTTTCCAAGATTCTAAACCAGGCTTGATCCCAAAATGCTGTCAGTGGTCTTATATCCCTGTCAAGAAAGGGTAGAAATATTTGAATCCTTGAATTCCATCAACATGGGCTACAAGGATATCAGTGCTACATTGTCATTAAGGATTGACAGCTTTCAAAATGAAGCTTGAACTATGGCATGCAAAGTTAGGAAAGAAGAACTTTGCCCCTTTTTCCACAGATAAACAGATATATTGAGGAAAATGAGCTTAATATGGATGACAATCTCCTTGATGTCATGAAATTTCTCATTTTCATGATCTGTAAGAATTTTTAAAATACGATTGCTTTTTCAACAACCCTTTGTAAGATTGCTTTTTTTCAACAACCCCTTTGTAGGCTCCATTATTGATCTTCCTTCAGAGGACAATTAAATTCAAGAACAGTTTTTATAAGTGACGGGGTTGAAAACATGTTTTCCATAAAACATGTTGCAGTTATTTCTTGGATTTAAATGGTGCATTCCTCCTCTCCCAATGTTGCCAAGAGGGCTCTCAGATGGCTGCAGTCCTCCCCCAATGTTGCCAAGAGGGCTCTCAGATTGCTGCAGTCCTCCCCCAATGTTGCCAAGAGGGCTCTCAGATTGCTGATTTCATTTGCATCCATGAGTGTCAGACGGCTTTTGACAAACTACTTAGAATCACAACAAAATCCCTAAAGAGATTAAAGGCCCCCCCCAAAAAAAATCACCTAAGTTTTGCCACTTTCTAAAGAAACAGTTGTTTGTCAAAAATGTTTTGGTAACGGTATTTTAATTTTAGTTAATTATAAAAGGTCTTCGAGCTTTCAAGAAAATTGGAAAGAGACCATCGCACAAGATATCCGAAAAAAGTTTGAGAACCACTGGGTTATGACCTCAAATCCACTGATTATTCAAGGGAGGGTGTTATCTCTCAATATAAAGATTGGTACATAGAAGAATTGAATAAAAAAAAAAAAAGACAGTTTTATTGTTTCTGTTAGTCACACCCCCCCCCCCCCCCCCCCCCCATGCCCTTTATGTCAACCCCTTGCATCGTCCAGATTTATTCGACAGGCCTACATAAAGATTATTTTTTTTTAATAATCTGGTTTTTGAATGGGTGAAAACGGACTTATCTCATAGTCTCCAATATTTCTCTCCATCTTCCAAACTCTGCCGCCATAGTGTGGTATCTGGCAATTATGCACTCAAGTCACGCTCAAGTTCTTTTTTGTTTGTTTGTAATTTTGTATGTGTTCTTGTACATGAACACTTTGCCAAGTAAGCAGGTGATGCCATTGAATAAATAACTTTGCTGCAATAGTACATTATTATAGAATTGTGTACATATATGTACCAATTAAATACTCTTAATTAAAGATCTTTGTAGTTTTCCCAAGTAGAAGATTCTACAGTTTCTGAACACATTTGAGGTAGCGCCAAGGAACTATTGTTATAAAAACAGATATTATCTTAGGGGTTTGGTGTGATCACCTTGGCAGTATTTAAGTGTGTCATTGTTGTGCACGATTTTCACTCATTCTCAGTGTGTTTTGTGTCCAATTCATGTGTCAGTACTTAAACTTAGTGAGAGCATTATCAAAGCTTTTAGTCACCTGTGTCAATCTCATTTTTTGCACTTGTCCAAAATCCATGAAGAGAAATGTTCTGCTCTGCTTACAACCATTCTCTGTGTATGTCAATCTGGTCTATTTGTTCTTACTTTCAAACTGCTCACTTTTCCTCGCCAACTGCTCCATTCTTCTGTTACTCTGCCTTGTATCCATCCAGGAGAAGGACAAGAAATACATGCTCCCCCTCGAAGGGCTAAAGTTACGGGACCTTGAATCTGGCATATTCTCTCGACATCCGATATTTGCCCTTTTCAATGCTGAAAATAGGTATTTTCATTTCCCATGAAGATTTTGTCAAGTCCTATGAGTCATGACTTATTCATGTTGTCCACCTAAGGTAGATACACCAAAAAATTAAAAAATCCCCGTACATAAATTAATCCATCAATGGAGTGCTGAATAAATTACTTTAAAATGAATCAAATGTCATATGTTGTAATTTCATTGTCCCTTGTCATTTAATGACATTCACACTTATATTACATAATTTTGTCTCTTCACACTTCAAAAAAAGAAAGAAAAAAAAGTCTATTTTAACAATGATGGCTTTTAAAATGTCATTTTAACTATTTTAGAAAATCTAAAATTACAAGTGCTTCCAAGCAAATTAATTTGAACAAATGTTAATACATTAAAACATAAGTAGGTGTTTCTTTAGTCTGGACTAATTCAACAATAGGTTTATTTGCTTCTTATGGCTGGTTTTCATTTACATGTTGGGAGTACATGATTGTGATTTTTATGGCATGCTGCATTTATTGATGTGGGCTTGGTTTTGGCATGTGATTAAAAAACCTGGCTAGTTTGATGTTAAACTCTGCATGCTAGTCCTGTCTTTAGACTTTGTCACTTGTTAAGTTGCTTATGGGGGAAGCAAAACTCTCATTTTCAGAATAAGTTCCTGCTGAAATTTAGTTTTTAGCTTCCCCATCTTTCTTCCCTGATAATTCCTCTATGTAACAAGGCACTCCCCACCCCTTTCCTTCTCCCATGCTGGTGTATGGTGGTGGTGATGTGTTCTCAAGGCTGCATATGAGAAATTCTCAACACAACTTAAACAAGAAACCCACTGTTGACAACGTGTTTAAAATACAATATTTGAACTTGTATTTTTGTGTTTAATTTACCTGTTATAATTTTATATTCAAATCTGTTTTACATATTACTCGTCATCTCCATTTCTTCTCATCCAGGCCTGTTCATCTTTTACAATAATTGCTCTCAGAACTACTTCTTTAACTGGATTCCACCGTCCCAGGAAGGGTTCAACAACCTATTCCCCATGGCTTGATCTAAAACAATTGATATCAATAAAAATGTGAATAGACCCATGCAAATTAAATTTACACCCAAGTTATGCATTTCTATGATCTCTTTCTCATACAGGTAGCAGATCCCCCGACCTTAAACTTAAATGTCTGAACTATCACAACTAAATGTGTTGGGTCTAAATGTCTGAACTATCACAACTAAATGTGTTGGGTCTAAATGTCTGAACTATCACAACTAAATGTGTTGGGTCTAAATGTCTAAACTATCACAACTAAATGTGTTGGGTCTAAATGTCTGAACTATCACAACTAAATGTGTTGGGTCTAAATGTCTGAACTATCACAACTAAATGTGTTGGGTCTAAATGTCTGAACTATCACAACTAAATGTGTTGGGTCTAAATGTCTGAACTATCACAACTAAATGTGTTGGGTCTAAATGTCTGAACTATCACAACTAAATGTGTTGGGTCTAAATGTCTGAACTATCACAACTAAATGTGTTGGGTCTAAATGTCTGAACTATCACAACTAAATGTGTTGGGTCTAAATGTCTGAACTATCACAACTAAATGTGTTGGGTCTAAATGTCTGAACTATCACAACTAAATGTGTTGGGTCTAAATGTCTAAACTATCACAACTAAATGTGTTGGGTCTAAATGTCTAAACTATCACAACTAAATGTGTTGGGTCTAAAGCACACTAAGAGTGTTAGCAACACTGACAAGTTATAAATCCTTATCTCGTATCATTAGAAACCTCTTGGAGCACTCTGCCTTACAACCACCATAAACTTCAATACAGCAAGGGTGTCCTCTCCAGGACAGCAGGTCATGCTAGATTGCCACAGGATGCATTATTTAGAGAAATATAGTTTTATTTGAAGACAAAGTTGGGAGAGTAGGAATGTTAGATTGTTATATTAAAATAGCATTACGTAAGGCAGTGGTTCTCAACCTTTCTAATGCCGCGACCCTCTAACACGGTGCCTCATGTTGTGGCGACCCCTAACCACAAAATTTTTATCGTTGTTGCTTCATAACTGTTGGGTATATGTGTTTTCCGATGGTCTTAGGCGACCCCTCTGAAAGGTTCATTTGACCCCCAAAGGGGTCGCGACCCACAGGTTGAGAACCGCTGACGTAAGGCCTTCAACATGTGGGTTGTTGAATACCTGTAGATGAATACTGTCTCCACAATATTATCCTATAGGATTATGGGAAAACTCTGGCTTGAAAAAAAAGGATCATTTAGCTTTACTTGGAAATCAGAGAACCGTAGCTTTGTGTCTACTATTTGTATGTTATTTCTAGGATTACGTGACAGGTTTATTTTCTTGTGGGCTGTCAAGGTATTGCTTGCCAGAAAAGGAATAGTTCTCCATGCGAGACACACATTATGTAGGCCATGTTGATTGTTGTTCTCCTGGAGCAGTTTCTTTAAATTTTTATTGAAAATAGCTTGTTCAATCATCTGGACTTGACTAGAAGTTGACCTTCAATTTTTGTGACTTATCAGTATGGGCTTGTGTGTCTTATTTGGTTTCTTGTCCTCCAACCAGCAATGTTTACAATGTAGGCAATGAGTCTATCTACTAAAAGTATCCTGTTTTTCCTGATATGTGGCTCAGTTTTAATGGGCAAAATTCATGTCTTGCTTTTTTCGAAATATCTACTACTATTTCTGTGTGTCTTCCACTGCTAGGTTTGATTCATTTACCACTTGATAATGTCATTATTTTCATCTGAAACTAATTAATAATACCATAAGGTATTAGTACCTGAGTTAGGTAGACATTACCAGGTTCAGTGATAGGTAATTGTTATCATCAAAGACCCACAGACAATATCTGAATTCAGCAAATAGTCACATGCAATAATGTAGTTATGTTTCTGAGATGGTTGATTACTGATTTACTGAACACTTGATATTTTAAATGTATTATAAGCTTTTCAATTACATCAGCATTAGTAGGAAATGATTTAATGGAAGCTGAAAAAATGCCAGACCGATTTTTTTGGATAATTTATGTCATGTACATTCCTGGCCTATGGGAGGTTGTGAGGGTTAATATACCTGGGTTGGTTCACGGTTGACCTAGATCTGATTATGTATCATCGCCAGGAGAAAGACAAGAAGTACATGTTGACACTTGATGGGCTAAGGATCAGGGACATGGATCAGGGTTTCATGAGCAAGAAATGCGGTTTTGCTATTTTCAATCCTGAAGCCAGGTAGACAAAGAGTGACTTACCTTTTCCTGTCCGTAAGAAATTCAATGAAATTATCTTTTCCTGCCGTTCGTTATTATTTTGTTTCCCCAAGTTTTACTGTTTCAACCTTTGAAACCTAAACTGCCCAAGTCCATTCCATCCCGACATATTATCTATCTGCATATTTTGTACTGCATTAGCCCCCCCTTACCATAATTGAGAACTGCCAAATTTAAACACTGAATATTAAACACACCACATAGAATTAATGTTGCCCATTTCTGTAGCGCGGGTCGCGGGAAAAAAATAAAATAACATAAACCAAATGATAAAAACATTTATGTCCGGGTAAAAGCTGGTCATGTCATTTCTTTAGCTCAAGCTTTAGCTCAGTGCACCACTTCAGCTCCCCAGATTTATAATTATCTACATGTGCAACAACTGTTTATAAAATAACTGCATGAAGGCATGGCTAATATTAGAAAACAGCCTCATTTGCCCTGAAATCAATTTTTAACCAATCCAAATCGGCCTGCTTTTCATTTAGCTGGTTTTCGACTCAGCTCCCAATGGATGATATTGAGTGACTATAGGACTTGGATATATTCATGGTAAAATGAAATGTAAAGGGTTTCAACAGGATTTGAATTTGTTGCTTTGTTATAGTTTGTTTACCTTTTCCTGTTATCAGTGAAATATTGATTGATTTTTTTATTTATAAATTCAACTTATAACTATAAATTTCCTAAAAATTGTCCCATTCAAAATTCATGTGTACCATTAGTAACAGCTCAGATGTGGGTGCTGTTGAAAGATGCCTATTTATGAGTGGAATCTTTATTCTGCGTTGTCTTGCAAGAAATGCTCCGCCAAATTAGATAGTTAAAATGACAATTCCAAGAAAAGTTTAGAGCTTAAAAAAAATGTCCAGTCCTTGTTACCGATGGGTCTATGTGCTTGACTAACATCAGGAATGAGGCATATCTCCTCAAATGTATTTTTTAATATACTTGCTGGTTTTCTTTACACTCTGCTTAACTTATTCTATATATTTATCTTACTTTCTATGGAAGTAATTTGAGACTAATAGTATACACAGTACACAGTTTTACATAGCACTACACAATCATGTCCATAAACCCACCCCTGTATTATAGGACCTCATGATCAATATAATTATTGTATTCCATTCAAACAAACAACATAATATTAGTTTAGAAGCACCAGTGTAGAAGAGTTGCTTCCCTTCAGTATATTTGATTGGCTGTTTGTCCTTGCCTTCACTCGTTCCTTCCATTCACATGCAAAGGGTTAGGTCCCTGCTGTTTACATTATGTTTCAGAAGTCAGCTCAGATGTGTTCCTGTAGCATGCAGCTTGCATTTTTTTCAATAATCTATACATGCGTTCAATTTATGTCATTTTTCTTTCTACTAATCCATGAAACCACCACAATGTTCCGCATGTTTATAAAAATGTAATGTTCAATATTTGCATTCTCATTAGCCCTAGTTTGTCTTCCCCCTCTCCCCCCCCCCCCCAACCTCTCCTCTATGTTATGTTTTGTGTACCATTGCTGGTGTTAGGAGAGAGAAAAGCGCTACATGTTGCCACTAGAGGGATTACAAGTTAAAGATATGGAGGGAGGTCTATTCCAGTCTAAGCACATGTTTGCGTTATTTAACCCGTCGACCAGGTAGGTAGTTAGGTAGTGGTGCTGGCTTTTCAAATCAGGACTTTAATCTTCACTTATGTATCTGTAGTACTGCTGCTGAGCGTAGGCATCACTTACATAACTATAGCATTGCCCAGTCAAAGTATGTAGACAATGAAACAATAATTTCCTTTTCACCTGCCAAATATCTTAGTTTCTATGATCTGTGTAGGGTAGTACTTGTTATGCTGCAATATCAAAATGCCATGAAAGTGCTGTAGAATATTTCAATTTTATTAGCTTATATAAATATTGATTAAATCACATTTTTTGTAGGAAATGTAAGATTGATAATGATTTTTAAATAATAATTAGTAGCAAAAAATGAATAGCTTTAAACTTAACAGATATGTCACATGAATAAATTAAGCCTGATGGGGATAAAAGTATCCCATTAATTAAAATTTGTCGGCATTTTAATTTGATTTGATTTGCGAGAAAGGCGTACTCTAAAAATAACTGAAATATTTTTAAAGGAAAAGTGATAATCGTGTATGAGTTAATATAAAAAGCTCTGAGCAGTAAATATAATCTAACATTTATGTCTAGTCTCACCCATTTAATTAACATCCATGGCCTAAGATTTGCATATCTAACTAACTATAGCACCTTATCTTTAAGTCTGTCACCCTCTGCAAATTTAAAAACAAACAAAGTTTTTCACCTTTAATGGACACCTCTCGGTTTTCAAACGTGTCTCTTAATTATGCACATACATGTGTGGACTTAATGACTGACCACCTTGTCAGAAATGGTAATGAGTTATTAGGTAACGATGCAAGTCACCTGCTGTACTATCCTTAAACTCAGCCATCTGTGCACACACATCTGGACCACAAAGATGCAGTCACAAAATGAAATCATTGGACCACAAAGATGCAATCACAAAATGAAATCATTGGACCACAAAGATGCAGTCACAAAATGAAATCATTGGACCACAAAGATGCAGTCACAAAATGAAATCATTGGACCACAAAGATGCAGTCACAAAGTGAAATCATTGGACCACAAAGATGCAGTCACAAAATGAAATCATTGGACCACAAAGATGCAGTCACAAAATGAAATCATTGGACCACAAAGATGCAGTCACAAAATGAAATCATTGGACCACAAAGATGCAGTCACAAAACCACAAAGATGCAGTCACAAAATGAAATCATTGGACCACAAAGATGCAGTCACAAAATGAAATCATTGGACCACAAAGATGCAGTCACAAAATGAAATCATTGGACCACAAAGATGCAGTCACAAAATGAAATCATTGGACCACAAAGATGCAGTCACAAAATGAAATCATTGGACCACAAAGATGCAGTCACAAAATGAAATCATTGGACCACAAAGATGCAGTCACAAAGTGAAATCATTGGACCACAAAGATGCAGTCACAAAATGAAATCATTGGACCACAAAGATGCAGTCACAAAATGAAATCATTGGACCACAAAGATGCAGTCACAAAATGAAATCATTGGACCACAAAGATGCAGTCATAATATGAAATCATATTTTCTATAGATGGGTTTCTTGGTAATTATTTCAAATTCTAAAAAAAAAAAAAAATAATTTATTTTTATTTTTTGAAATCTTTGACACCATTTATTATAAAATCTTATGTGTCAAAATTCATTTCAATTACAAAAGAAAGTCCTTTACATTATTAAAGCGTTCCTAAACAATTAATTCCCTTTGTTTTGTAAATTCTACCTCTTATTTCCATTCTTCATTTGATATTTTAATGTCACATGGATATTCTATGACCAATAATTTATTTGCATACTTTGTTTTAATATCAGACATTGAATAGGGAATCATTTAAATTTTAAGTATTCCTTATTGATGATAAAGTCATAATACAATCTCAATACAGCTGCTTAAACCGCCTTACTTATTTTAAAACATCCCATGTGCAATAACTGGTTTTCTCCAATCCATTAACATTGAGGCCACTACTCTAGAGCAGAGGTTTTTAAAGTTAGTACAGGGACACAATGAATTTGTCATGAAAGCTTTTTAAAATAAAAAAAATTTACCAGTACACTTCCTCAGAAACAGAAAATTATTTTAAAAATACTTGAGTGGTATGTCATGGAGTTTTGAGTTTTGTTACAACGTAGAGTAGGTTGTAACAGTCTGCTCTAGGGTAATATTATACACTTGCTCACAGAATTAATAACTATAAGTTTATACATTTTGTTGGATGTTGTAATTTCAGTCACCTGAAATGGCTATCCCCATGTAAAGTGCTTTCTCATTGTGAACAAATCAGTAATGAATGATTAGTTTGAACCACTCCCTTGCAGTAGTTCACTGCAAGGGGGTGGTTCAAAACTAATCATTAAATTAAATTACTGATTTTGTTCACAAATGAGAAAGCACTTTTACATGGGGATAGCCATTTCAGGTGACTGAAAAATTACAACATCCAACAAAAAAATGTATAAAAAAACTTATATGCATTTTTTTGTTGGATGTTGTAATTTCAGTCACCTGAAATGGCTATCCCCATGTAAAGTGCTTTCTCATTGTGAACCAATCAGTAATGAATGATTAGTTTGGACCACTCCCTTGCAGTAGTTCAATGCTGTGCAGGGATTATCTGAAACTGAAAGCTGGGGATATTTGGAATGTATTGCTAAACATTATCCAAGCGATTTCAGAACTTGGTTCACACTAAGAAAGCTCTTATTTTCAATGTTGTTTCTTGCACACCAGTAACAATAATAATAATACTATGACTTTTTCACCTTGCTCACTCTTATTCTTTGTTTCGCAATTAACCTTTTGATTTGCAGCCTGCTTGCACACTACTAACACCAGTATCCGCTGCTAAATGAAAGCTAGAAATAATAGCCAGACGCTGGCCCCTTGTTGTTAGCTTGGGACGTTGAACCCATGGTTTTGTTAAATAGACGGGATTAACACAAACTCTTACGTAGTTTTGGGGACTTGCAACGGCACTAAATAAAATTCTATATTTGTGAATTGTTGAACAAAATTGATGTGTTGAGAGCTTTACTTTCAATGTGAAACTGTCATAACGTCTTTGGAAGAACTTTTAATTGGGTCAGACTGGGAGCCCCTACACAATACATGAGCAACTTTACCATTAGGTTAATGTAAAAAAATTGAAATTTTCATTGGAGTATTTCCTCCTTTCAAGAGAGACCAACACCCACTAAAGCCACATTGTAGTTTTGTTTTTCTCTTTGTTGAATTTATTGTTAATTTTACCGTAACAAAAAATGTAAAAAAAAGCATCTTTATGATTTATTATTTTTTAAAACAGTTATCTTACAAACTGCATCAACATTTTAACATGCTTAACGTGCAATGAAAATATTGGATATTTAAAAGTGTTAAAATAAATACATTTCTGGTAGATGTCTTTTGGTAAAATAAGTGCAGATTATCTTCTAAAGAATTTATTTTAAATGTACGCACGGACAAACTTATGTTAAATAACGTTTTGAATCTGTTTTTTTTCTGTCACCTTCAGAAATGTTTATAAAGACTACAAACAGCTGGAGCTGTCGGCCGAGTCACAAGATGAGGTGGACAGCTGGAAGGCATCATTCCTGCGGGCGGGAGTTTATCCAGAGCGCTCTACCGATGAAGGAGGAAGTGTAAGTCCCAACAGTGTTGTCCTGGTTATCTTTATCCTTAAATGTGTAAGAACTGTGAAACCAAAGGCAGACCCAAGATTGCCCTGTGTAGCACTCCCTCATTGGTCAGTTGGGTAGCATTATAATGTCAGACACAATTAAAACCATAAACTCAGATGTTTTATTGATGTCTTTTTTAGTGCTCACATTTTAACATATGCTGTGCATTATGTTTTGTATACACTAAAAATGCATGACACATTTTTACCCTATTACCTTGGATAACATCTTTTATTTATTAATAATTAACTGAGAAATGGATTAAAAAATTGCCATATGAATTTTGTGTCATGCTTCCATCCCTTCATGGGTGAGTTATGCCATAACTTCACTTGCTATCAGCAGACGAAGGACGACTACTCCTCCATGGACCCCCAGTTGGAACGCCAAGTTGAAACCATTAGAAACCTGGTGGATTCATATTTGAAAATTGTCAACAAAACCCAGCGTGACCTGGTCCCAAAGACAATCATGTACCTCATCATTAGCAATGTAAGTTACTGTGTTCTTAGCATTGATGTCTCATAGGAAATAGGTTTTTAAAATACATATATACACACGTGTCCAAAAATTAATACGGAACCAATTTGTTCTAACCCAGTGGTTATTGTGGCGACCCCCAAACCACAAAATTATTTTTGTTGCTACTTCATATCTTTTGAGTATACATGTTTTCCTCTGGTCTTAGGTGACCCCTGTGAAAGGTTCGTTTGAACCCTAAAGGGATCACGACCCACAGCTGAGAACTGCTCGTCCCCCTAGAATAACAAGGTTCTATGTGCCTATTTAATCCAATCAACTTAGAACCATGTTATCTAGGGGGACGTGCTGCTCTAACTGATTTGTATGAAGGAATGTAAAAAATGATGTTGATAAAATGGAAGTCAGTTCGAATAGATGTTTATTCCAACTGGAGTAATTAAAGAAAACAATAAAAATAAATTTTATTAAAAAGGTGACATTTTCCTTGTTTGTCACTTTAAAAAAAAATCATTTAAAAAAAACTAACAAACTGTTGAACAAGTTAAATTTCCAACAAACTTTCCATTCAAACAAACTTTTTCTTTAAACAACATTCCCATTACTTTCCATTCAAACAAACTTTTTCTTTAAACAACATTCCCATTAAGCAAACTTTCCATTCAAAACAACTTTCCCTTTAAACAAAATTTCCATGAAAACCAACATTCCTTTTAAAAAAACTTTCCCTTTAAACAAACTTTCCTTTTAAACAACATTTCTGCCTACAAATTGGTTTGGAACAAATTGGTTTGGAACAAATTGGTTTTGTACTAATTTCTAGTAACCATGTACACATGTTTTTAGAGCTCAAGTTAACAGTGTTTTATATTGTTATACAATGACAGTTTATTAGAAAGCTTAAAAAGAAAAGATATGTCCTGAGGAAATTTTCTAAAAAATGTCATAATTATGTTGACTGTTTGAAATTAAACAAAAAAAATTAATTCCAATGACCTCAGAGAAATTAAATTTATGATGTAAAGTGGTATAATTTTATGTACTGCTAGCATGAATGTTGTCTAAAGAGAACCATTAAAATGAAATTTAATTATCCATCTATATTTTGTGTGTAACACACTGACTTATTGGTAGGTACGTAAAGTGTGCCAATGTGTGTGGGTGTGTGTGTGTGGGTGGGTGGGGGTGGGTGTGTGTGTAGGTGGGTGGGGGGATGTTAGTGTTATACTAGATCTGCTATGCCTTAATTAATATTTAGTTGAGTGCATGGCAGAACTAGTATAATGCCAGGCACAGGTTAGGGACCATGGTTACTGCTGGCTCTATTTGGTTTGAGTATAATGCCAGGCACAGGTTAGGGACCATGGCTACTGCTGGCTCTATTTGGTTTGAGATGGGGAACAGGTGTAGCACACCGATCACTATATTAAACACTCTATTTTACATGTAGTGTTCCCTGGCACAATTCCCTGGCCAATGGCCCTTAAATGCTTGAGACAATCAACTATTCCTAGAGAATGACCAAGTCCCTGCCAATGGTACTTAAATGCTTGAGGCAATCAACTATCCCTAGAGAATTACCAACTTGGCCCAGATGGGAAAGTGGTTAAGATCTTAATTTTTTTTAACTTTGTACTCAGGGTATGGCAGTATGGGGTGCTTATGTGTGTCTGTGTGGGGGTGGGGCGGTCTCTTACTTGATGGTCCACCTTCTGACCAATTGAGCTTTAATTCCCGGTTAGATATTTGGGGTTGGACAGATATCAATGGTCTAAACTGGAAGGTACAAGAATGGTTTCTCTACAAAATCACTGCTGCCATTTTCAGATTCGGGGTTTTATTGATGGTGACCTCCTGGCCCACATCTACTCCACGGGTGACCAGGTAACTGATCACAAATCACTGTAGCATGGCATGTTGTTGTTTTGTTGTTGTTTTTCTATGGTGCACTTGGACCTGCATCTGTTAACCCACCGTCCAGCCTGAGCCACTGCAAGATGGGGATATTTCAAAGCTTGGTTTAATTTGCCGTAGCCCTGTATTCAGGGTTTGACCAAGTCCATCTGTCGATGACCCATTGGTCCAACCCTGAATGGCAGGCCCGCTTTCCATGTGATAGACTAGACTAATTTGAGACTTGGCCTCTTGTGCCCGCTCCTTTTGTTTTCAGATGAAGGAATATATCAAAGATGACTTATTACCTGGTTTGTACTCGGCTGGAGATCAGGTGGGCAAACACATCTCTTGCACTGTCTTTCCATCTTTGTGTCATCGGGGGGGGGGGGGGGGGGGAGAGATCATTTGACATTTAACTGCCATCAATAAGGGGATGTAGAAAAAATTTTCAGGCCACTCATTCAGACTGGGATAAGTTATATTGTTTATCTTAAAAACCCACTGCCTCCTCTTCTACCCACTTTTTCTTATATTTTTATTTTGGGAGAATGTTAATATTTAAAACGTGCATTTCCTTTGTAATAGCTACTTTAATTGATGTTGTCATTTTTAACTAGTCTGTCCTCAACTTCTATCATCGTCTTTGCATCTTTATGTCTTTTCTTTTTCAATAACCATCTTACACCCTTATATTTGGAGTGTTTTATTTCTAAACCTTTTACTTTTATGGAAGTTTATTATATTTAAAGACGGTAACCTTCGTAGCTTAGAACGATGTAACAGATATAAATGTTCAAGTTATTTAAAGACAAATATGATTTAATTTGCCAATTAAAAAGGTAAAATTTGCCAATTAAAAAGGTAAAATTTGCCAATTAAAAAGGTAAAATTGTTTAAATGGAACATGTTTAAAATACATTTTTATTGAGAAAGATAACTGCATCATGTTATATTAGATGACTGCCGTAACCAATTTTAATTAATATATAATTTTAATGGAATTTGATCAATGGAGAAGATATAATAAAAGTGAGTTTCTTCATATCACAATGAACAGCACTAAGCACCTCATAATTTAACTCACTGGGCTTTTCGATAATCTTTAAAAGAGGGGAAAGTAATGGTACAGTTTAGTGTCTCTTGTGTGTGGCCCCCTTGTTTGAATATTGTACACTTGTTCAATCTGACAGCCTCAGATAGTAAGTACATTCACTGTTGATGACTTCCCTGAGGCAGGGCTGCAGGGTCAGACTGGTTCTGTTTGGTAGCCATGCGAGGAACAGTAGCACTCCAAATATTGATCTGTTCACTTTGGCGAGGGAGGGGTTTGAGTATTATTCCCACTTTAAGGGGATGTTGCGACAACTTTGGGGGTTTTTGGCACTTCCGAATGAAACACAGGAAGTTGTATACATTTCCTTTCCATTGACCCAAGAAACCTTACTCTTTGACAATGCAGCCTATCCGGAGCCATCATTTTATTTTGAGATTGTATTTGTGATTATCTGTTTGTGTTATGTTAATTTGCATGGCCAGAGATGACATAGTCTTGATTGTCTTGATGAGAGCTTGTAGTTTAATTGACCAGTGAATTCCAACTTGATCCAATTCCATACGTGAGGCTAACGTGAGGCTAACGTGAAACTTTGTAGCTATTTATCCATTTTACTGGAGGAAATCTTAAAACTTATATCTCTTATCCAAATCTAACAAAATGGTTTCAAACGTTGAATACAAAAATAGTTTCATATAAAAATTATGTATGAATTTTGAAGCTGCCATGTTTATCTCTTGATTTCATTGTAACTTTTTGAGTTTCAAATTTGGATTGTTTAATCAATGATTTTTTTATAACAACCTTGTGTAAAAGATATTGTTAATAAAAAGAATGGAAGATTGTGTGGACAGTGATAACATGAACAAATTGGAGACCACATTTCTTTGTTTAACAAGGACAAAAAAAATATTGGTTACAAACATAATGGAAAACATAGATCGACATGAAGTTATTGTCATTACAAGTTTTAGATTTTGTGTGGAAGTTTGGAAACAGTCGTGAAGCTTACCACCTATAACTTTTGGTGTTAAGTCTATTATGAAACTTACCACTTATAACTTTTGGTGTTAAGTCTATATGACACTTACCACTTATAACTTTTGGTGTTAAGTCTATTATGAAACTTACCACTTATAACTTTTGGTGTTAAGTCTATATGACACTTACCACTTATAACTTTTGGTGTTAAGTCTATTATGAAACTTACCACTTATAACTTTTGGTTTAAATCTATTATGAAACTTACCACTTATAACTTTTGGTTTAAGTCTATTATTATTATGAAACTTACCACATTTAACTTTTGGTGTTAAGTCTGTTATGAAACTTACCACTTATAACTTTTGGTGTTAGTTTATTATGAAACTTACCACATTTAACTTTTGGTGTTAAGTCTATTATGAAACTTACCAGATTTAACTTTTGGTGTTAAGTCTATTATGAAACATCCCACTGATAACTTTTGGTGTTAAATCTATTTGAAGTCACCAAGGACAATGCTAAATTTTATCCAAAAGTTAAATCTATTTGAAGTCACCAAGAACAATGCTAAATTTTATCCATGAACCTCAAATCAGAATCAAATGATGGAGGAATCAGCTGAGGAAGCCCAGCGTCGTGAGGAGATTCTCCGCATGTACCACGCCACCAAGGAGGCTTTACAGATCATTGGTGAGGTTTCCACAACGACGGTCTCCACACCCACACCGCCACCCGTAAAGGATGATTGGTTGAGTGCTGAGGAGAACATGAATTCATCTGGTGGTCCAAGTTACAATAAGTAAGTCTACATGAATTCATCTGATGGTTCAAGCTACAATTAGTAAGTCTACATGAATTTTTAAGTATTTTAAGGTGATAATAAATAGGAATGAATTATTTAAGTGAGAATTCCAACTTGCATCTTTATTTAATGTCTATGTCTGATGTTAAGTAAATGTCTGGTTTCTTGCTGCTAAATCAATATATACTGTAACAAAAATTAAAACTTCTACAGCCGACCCCCTAGCCCAGCCAGACCCCGTGCTGTCCCTCCCCTTCCCAATAGACCCATGGATCAACCACTGCAACCGGTGCGAGCCGCCCCCGGTGTTCCTAACAGACCAGCCCCCGACAGGCCAATGCCCAACATCCCTGCGTAAGTATCTCCACTGAAGTGGTGGATGTTGATTGGTTAGAAAATTTGTTGGAATAACTACTGTTTCATTTATGGTCGCTTAGTACAAGTAGTCAATATTTAGGGATATTGATTACTTCAATGTACAAGAAAATAATAGCAACAAAATTTAAAAAAAATAGCAATAGCTTAACATAATTAAGAAAAATGTAATCTTCTCTAGGCTAGAGTGTACTTAAGGGTAAAGCTGTAACTTTGGTGTATAGTAAAGATGTAAAAATCTAAATGACACATGATTCTGAGACCAAACTTTTGACGTTCAGTTATCTGAAATTACATAGCCAAGAATTATGAGCTCAAACTTCTGTTTTATTTCAGTCGCCCCTTGAGCGTAAACAGGCAGGTGCCCCGTATCCCTGACCGACCCCTGGTCCCACAAAGACCCAACTGAAGTTAGAAAGACGGATGGGCACAGACACCCTAACCTGTTGGTATATCAACTATAGCAGGTGAAATATACCACAGGATCCTGTACAGCACTGGAAAATGATTCACCTTTATCCAAGTCATAATTGGGACTTAACACATTGTTATTGGAAGCCCAAAGTGGACGTGATAGATGACTACGTGATGACTTGAAGTCTTGATGTGACTTACTGTATAATATTTAGGGGAGAGTGGTGAGAAAATCCATTGTTGATATGTATGATTGTTATATGTAGCAGTTTCATCTTTGCTGTCACCATGGTTTGATGAACAGTTGCTGTAGATAGATTGGGTTGTGTGTGTTGGTGAGGCCTAGCACAAAAATGGTTGATCTCTTGGCTGTTTCTGTGTGTGGGGCTCTGTATGTGTGTCTGCATATATAAGAATGTACTCAATCTACAACCAGCCAGGTTTACCATATTTTCATTGAATGAGTCAAATATTCATTTAAGACAGTGGCCCCATGGTATTTTATTAAAAAATGTTTGGGGAGCCCGTGAACCAAATTTTAATTCAAGATTTACATCCTGTCAGAGTCCTAGTGAGTTTTCAATGGTCGTATCAGTGAAGTTCAATCTGGATAAGTTTGGAACCACAGATGACTTGTTTTATCTTGATTCATGTGTTCTCCAACCTGTAGAACTGTCGAAGAGGGCTGGCAGTTTGACACAGTCAGAGTAATTGCAAAAAAAAAAGAAAAAAAAAAAAGAGCAATAATAATTTGTCTAACCGATGTGGTCATACATATGAACAGATCTGACCAGGTCAAATGTGTCAGTGGTGACAGTCTGTCATATGACCAGGTCAGCTGTGTCAGTGGTGACAGTCTTGTTGGGTTTACTCCATGTCATAAATGTTTATTCTACATTTGATGTTTATTAAAATGTCTTAGAGGGTGCTGGCCTGTCCTGGGACTGTCACCTGACTTAATATGCGGCCAGCCCCATGGGACCAGATAGCTCAGGGGTGGGCAACCAGAGCCATTGGGCCACATGCGGCCCTCTGAAACATTAAATTTCGCTTCGCATCACCTTCCAGGAAGTGGGATTATGTTTTGGTAAAACATACAATTTATTGTGAATGATTAACTGTAAAAGCTTTTGAAAACTGATAATCACAGGGCAAAATGTTCAAACTCCACTAACTATGATAAAGCAAATTAAACAAATATACAACAAGTGCTTATTGTCCACTTGAGTTTAGAATGACTATTTGAAGATCGTCTACAATGATATGTGTCCAAATGTTTATGAGGGCAGCATTTTTATGACACAATTACTGCCTGCATGATTTAAGTTACCCGGTAGTAGGCAAACTGGCAAGCTCAGGCTGCGAAAATATTGTGCCAGGTACATGGTCCATGGACAAGCCAGTGTGGACCAACATTCCTTATTATAGAACAGTAGGCCTGTGAAGGCAGTCAGTGCAATGCTTAACTCTTTCTGTTACTACTCAATATGTATAGATGACATGGGCATGATAAATAATCTGACAATAATCACTTGGGTATTTATTCATTCAGTTGTATGATATTACATTTATTAAATCTGTTAGAACATGACCTTGAAATTTTTTAAATTTTTTTTATTTTTTTTCATCCATCATTCATCAATATAAATTTTGTTTACTTGGCCATAATGAAGTAGCCGGTTGTCATGCTATTTCTACCTGTATTGCTACAAACAAGATAGCTTAGATTGATGTCATTATCTGGCTTTGCATAACTCTGGTAATTTCTAGAATATCTGTACATTGTCGTGACTGAGGTTGTAGATACACACTCTAGTGAACTGTGAATTAGGTTTTCACCTTGGTGTCCGATTGCCTGACTGTGATAAAAAAAAGATGAAGCTCCAATCCAATGAACAGGACAAAAAAAGGACAGCATTCATTTTGTGTGTAATGTAATAATAAAAAGTCTTAGTGGGTGAAAATAATTTGATCTGTTAGCCAAATAAATGTCAAACATAACATTAAAATGCATAAAATTACTTTGCAATGAATACATTTGGGTTTTGTGCATCATAAAGCACTAAAATATGTTTTAAAAGGAAAAAGCACCCATCATCTTAAAATACAACAAAAAAGGGTGGGGGGGGGGGAGAAGAAAAAAATAAAAGAATGTGTTTAAAAAACAAAAACTTGAAATAGACAAGTCAATTGAGGGCAGCATAAAGACCTATGTGTTGTCACAACTTGAAATAGACAAGTCAATTGAGGGCAGCATAAAGACCTATGTGTTGTCACAACTTGAAATAGACAAGTCAATTGAGGGCAGCATAAAGACCTATGTGTTGTCACAACTTGAAATAGACAAGTCAATTGAGGGCAGCATAAAGACCTATGTGTTGTCACAACTTGAATTTTTGGTAAGCCTCTTCTCTTTTTTCCCTCCATGTGATGTATGATTACTTTTAGATGAGCTGTCTTAGTTGGCTGGCATCAGATTGTGTGGGGTTGTATTTAGTCTCATTACAGCATTCAGTTACTCCCTGAGATTTGTTGGCCTGGGTTGAGTTGATGTTGTCATTTGCATCAGTCAGGGAGAGTTCATTGTGTTATTACTTTTGATTAGACAACACAGAGGGAGACGTGGAAATCACCAGGTGATTAAAAAAATATTGACACTATATTAGTTAGAGGCAGATATTTGAACAATGACACCCACTGAGCAAGACCTAACCAGCGATTATTGTAAAAAGTTCTTGCTCTATTGTCAGTGAAACTATCCTAATAGGTAATACCAGATAAGTTTAATTCTCAATTGAATCTAATACACATGTGTCAGGTCGCTCGGCGTGTGAGACCAAATATTTGCTTTGGCTAGGTTCCACATTATCATTGCAACAGACCAATTTCCTAATAAGGAAAGACATGAATATTCTGTAGGTTAGATCCTGTTAAATATCCTTATACCATACAGAGTGTTAGTCTGCTGTGCAGATGGAAATTGTGCCCCTCTATACACGCCCCTCTATACACCCTGCTCCGAATCATTGTGCCCCTCTATACACCCTGCTCCGAATCATTGTGCCCCTCTATACACCCTGCTCCGAATCATTGTGCCCCTCTATACACCCCGCTCCGAATCATTGTGCCCCTCTATACACCCTGCTCTGAATCATTGTGCCCCTCTCTACACCCTCCTCCGACTCATTGTGCCCCTCTCCATACAGAGTGTTAGTCTGCTGTGCAGATGGAAATTGTGCCCCTCTATACACGCCCCTCTATACACCCTGCTCCGTATCATTGTGCCCCTCTATACACCCTGCTCCGAATCATTGTGCCCCTCTATACACCCTGCTCCGAATCATTGTGCCCCTCTATACACCCCGCTCTGAATCATTGTGCCCCTCTATACACCCCGCTCTGAATCATTGTGCCCCTCTCTACACCCCGCTCCGAATCATTGTGTCCCTCTATACACCCTGCTCCGAATCATTGTGCCCCTCTATACACCCCGCTCTGAATCATTGTGCCCCTCTATACACCCTGCTCCGAATCATTGTGCCCCTCTATACACCCGGCTCCGAATCATTGTGCCCCTCCCTACACCCTGCTCCGAATCATTTTGTCCCTCTCTATACCCTGCTCCGAATCATCGTGCCCCTTTCTACACCCTGCTCTGAATCATTGTGTCCTCTACACCCCGCTCTGAATCATTATGCCCCTTTACACCCCGCTCTGTATCATTATGTCGCTCTACACCCTGCTCCAACTCATTGTGCCACTCTGCACCCCGCTCCGACTCATTCCTTCAAATAATAACTTGGTTCTACCTCCATTTTTGTTTTAACACAGAAAAGTTGTTCATCTGTGTTAAAAATAGAGAGTAGAGTTTTTAAGAGTCAGCCCCTACAATTTTGTAAAGATGAAAAAATTCTGCAGAAGAATTGCTACAAAGTACATTTAAACTTAAAACCAGGCTCAACAACAAATAAGCTAACTTATTTTACCATTCAGATATTTTCACTACTTGCACGGGACGACATAGGGCACCATTATTTAAGGATATTTTCTTAACTGTATGGGATGGTGTTGATCACCGTTAGGATAATTTCAATATGTATCAGTGATGGTGTTGTCACCATTATTTTAGGATATTTTCATTACCGGTACGTACAAGGGATGGCCGAAGGTCACCATTGTTTTACTAAGTTTTAGGATATTTTTCATTACTCACATGGGATGGCATGGATCACTATTATTTTAAATGAATGCAGAATTGGTCACCGGGAGTTGTCCTCTGATACACCATTAGTGGTAGCCTCCCTTTTTTGATGATGTCCCCAGCGTTACCGTTTTATTTGACATTATCGCATTAATGATACTTGAATGATTTAAGTTTAAGTACATTTGATGTAACATAGAATTTATTACTTTCACAATGATTTTTCTATTGCTTTATTTCATGGTTCCCACATTCATTTGATGTCAACTTTTAAATAAATAAAGCTTGTTGAAACAAAGCCACCGGAGTCTTATTTGTTTTGTCTGGTTTTGCTATTTTAAGCCCACGGCGGTCGTCCCATTGGATTTCATTTGAACATTGAAAGACCAAAAAAAAAAAACAACAACTAACTATCCTACGGTACCTTAAAAAAAAAAAAAAAAATAACGAAAGATCTTAATGAAGATAGCCACCGGAGTCTTATTTGTTTTGTCTGGTTTTGCTATTTTAAGCCCCCGGCGGTCGTCCCATTGGATTTCATTTGAAAATTGAAAGAACAAAAAAAAAAAAACAACAACTAACTATCCTACGGTACCTTAAAAAAAAAAAAAAATAACGAAAGATCTTAATGAAGAGATCCATGGTTAGTAGGAAATGTTGACAGTGGCTTAATCATGGCTTTTTTTTTGTTCTTATTCAACAGCACAGACATGTTTATTTGAACATGGCTTTCTCGGTTGTTCTTTTAACCAGCTACAAAAACGTGCATGGAATGTGGAGTGTTCGTTTACAGATTCAATTCCTGTTCACCACAACGTGGGCTGGATGGCTGTGCGGTCAAAATGAGTCATTGCCAAGCTTGTTTGATTAGAGCTCAATACGTTTCAGGGGGGAAAAAAAGCAAAGACAACACCCCGAGTGGATGAGATTCGTTAACCTTGATTGGAAACTCATCCAAGAGATGGAAGACTCTGAATTCAAACACGTAAAGTTCACCAACTATTTCAGAAAAACAAAAGAAAATATAAGGGGGTCGTTTCGCAAATTACGTCACGCTTAAGGGGAGAGGGTCGTCGAGAATTTGAGACACTTTGTAACAGGGGAAAAAAGGGGAGGGGGGGGGAGATTTTTGTGACGTCACGTTTAAAAAAAAAATATCCAACATTTTCTAATTTTGATAAAATCTTTATTTCATTAATTCAGTCGCTCACACTCACACCTTTTGCGCATATCGAAAAAAATGACGCAAAAACTTTTGTGGCCAATTTACATTCGGCTCGGAGATTTTATGACGTCGTTGTTTGGCGTAACAGCTTTCTAATACCGGTAAGGGGCCGTCCATTCATTATGTCAATAGAATGGG